GATTTTTATGGTGGTGAGTAAAAACGCGTAGATAGGGGCAAGTTAAGTGATGGGAGGGTAAAGAGAAAGGAGGTAGAAGGAGGGGCTGGGTAGTCATGCACACTACGCGGGGGCTCAATGAGAAAAGCATACTTTCTTCTCCCCTGCCCAACAGTCTCCATCTACATTTTGCCGTTTGAATTAAAAGCAGGTAAACCGGATGTGTTGGGAGATATGAGAACGGAGGGCTCTACAAGAAGGGTCGAAAGGTAAGGCAGTCTAAGAAGAGGTGGCCAACCTAGAGCCTGTTACCCTACAAAATCTAACTTTGGTTACTTGACGGGTAATGTATAACCTGGAGTGTTATACCCTTCTATTTGACTAAGTCCTGCCATTAAATAATTCCTCAGAGAAAAAAAGAAACCTCCCTGGCATGTCAGCCGGACTAACCTAGTTCTCCGTTCCCGCCGCTCTTGTCCTCCTCTTTGCTTTTGCTCCGATTCCGGCTCAGGCGCGTCGATGCCCTTTTGGAAAGCTGGGAGATAACCTTCATCTCGAAGCCTCGTACCCTGTCTTTCTTGTTAGAGATTCAGGTCGAAGATGGATGAAATCGCCTGCTTCTACTAGTACTTGTACTCCTCAGGATCCGATCAACGGAACATCCTTCGACCATGGGCTTGCAAAACACGAGGAGTCGTACGCTACGCCTACATTCCCACACATAGTTCTGCCCAACAGATAAAAAGCTGTCCAGACGCGTCTCCCTTTGCCAACTTGGGGTCATAGCGCCCATTTAGCAGGTGGCAAGTGCACGCTCGTAGAGGGGAAAGGAAAAAATTGCGCGAAAACCCTCCCGGCCGCTGAGGCCTTAGGGCAACGCCATCATGGGTAAACACTGCCACAGGAACACGGCGCCGATGTCATGACCGGGTTAGCAGGGTGTGAGGGACATGCGTCAAGAGGTTTGGATGTGCAGCATTCCTGTTTCCGTCCCTGCCCGTAGAGTTTTTAAAAGGGCTTGGAGCTTTTGTCCTCGTCTGGCATAGTCACATCGCCGGCTTCGATTAGCACCGAGCCGCCATGCGGAGAACACTTTGTCCATCCCTTTTCACTCACGTGCGTCCTGCTCTTCACACGTGTGTAGAACGGACACGACAACGAAATCAAGCCCGTACCACCATGGGTGAATCTGCCACGCCAGTCAAAGCCGTCCCTGAGGCTGCTTCGTCCTCCGCCTCCCCACCTCCCCCCACCTCAGCACAAATACCCCCCCGTCCGGCCTCTAAGCCCGTCGGCGAGCTCTACCGCATTCGACCCTGGCACACAGTGATCGTTCTCACGTTGGCCTTGCTCTTGGACCTGCCTTTTTTGATCGACCGGTTGGCCTTGTCCCCCTATACCTCCCATACCACTGGCGGGGTCCTGGTAACTGGGGCGTCCACGGGCATCGGCCGCGATGCCGCCATCACCCTCGCAACCAAGGAGCCAGGACTGATCGTATACGCAGGCGTGCGAAACTGTGAGAAGGAGGAGGGGGAATGAGGGGGGGTGACGAGAAAGATGGAAGGAAGAAGACTTGGGATGACGCCATCATTCTCGGAAGCGGTCCTGCCGCGGGCCTTCCTCACCAGACCGCTCCCTCCCTCCCTCCTTCCCTCCCTCCTTCCCTCCCTCCCTCCCTCTCTCCTTCTCATCCTTGTCCCTTCCTTGTCTCGCCCCATTTCCTCCCTCCTTTCTGCAGTGAGAGACGCCAAAGCCATTACCGCCCTCCATTTGCCGAACCTCCTGCCCGTTACCATGGACGTGACCAAAGACAACAGCGTGCAAGCCGCCCGGCGTACCATCCTGAAAGACCTCGCCTCCCGCGGACCCGAACCCGACAACCCGCTGCCATTCGTCGGCCTGGTAAACAACGCAGGCGTGACGGGGATGGCTCCCTTGGAACACCACGCCCTTCCCGAGGTGGAAAAAATCTTCGCCGTCAACGTCTTCGGCCTCCTAAGGGTCAC